CTGCCCCCTGTTCATATACCTTGCCTGGGATATGACATGAATTGTCTGGGTTGAGCTCCATTAAAGCAGAAAGCCCCCTTTCCATCTATGCTGGGATTTTTTTTTCTTTATCAAATTGCTATCAGAATGTAACTTCCTAAGCCACTGAAGACACATAATCCACTTAAACTCAATCCCCCTCCCCATGCCATCTGTGGGCTGCAGAATCTATGGCCCAGCTGCATCCAGCGAGGTTGGTGGAGGGTGTCCCGGGGCTGGCCTGGGCACTGGCTGGTTAAACAGAAGGCTGCTAAGCCAGCCAAGAGTGGAAGCTGGGTTCTGCAGAGAAGGGCTGTGGGACACCTGTGCCCTGGGACCTTTCCCTCTGAGTCTGAGATGCTCGTTACTGCTCTGGTGTTCCTTAGGGCTGGCTCCCCGGGGCCTTAAGGGTTTTGTGCTGTTCAGGTCACCTTCAGTATTTAAAAGGAAAAACGTGTTTCTTTAGATGTGTTCAGGTTCTCCCTGTCCAGCATCCATTACTGCCGCCTGCCAGTCCCCAGACGCAGGCTGTGAATGAGTGGATTTGGGGAAGCATGTGATTTTATTCCATCTCTAATCCTGCCATTGGATTTGGGGCAGGGATTGCAAAGCAGGGGTCCCAGAGACCAGTGGGAGATTGGACGTGAGACCATTGACAGTGACACTGAGGGAGTCATGGATACAGCAGCAGAGACTGCCAGGGCCCTTGGACAGAAGTGGCAGGACAGCCACTGAGGGCAGAGAGGGGACTTGGCTGGCCCAGAAGCTCAGGGGCACTTCCCTGTGGGGCCACAGCCCTATCAGGGCCAGTGGTGACTGGAAAGGAGCTGGCATGTGGCAGCATGAGAGGGCGGGGAGGCTGGCGGGACACGGGAAGCCAGCATGCCCAGGCATTCCATCCCAGGAGGGAGTTCCTCTGTCATCTGAAAGGCAGTGGCAGCGTGAGCTAGGAGCACGGTCACTCTTCTGGTGAGGGAGACRCTGACCATCTCAGTTGTGATAGTCTTTTACATATGGCAAAATTGATCACTTATAGACTCTAAMTGTGTGAAGTTTGTTGTATGCCACACTTCAGTAAATCTGTTTAAAATAAGTTACCCAACAAAATCTTATGTGTAATTTCGGTCACACCAGACACCTGCTCGGTGTCCCCCACACTCCAGAGACTTCAAAGCAGAAGTGTTGTTTGAGATAAAGGTGGCTATACTTATTGACATTGGTGTTGTTCAGAACACCAGGAAGGTAAAATGTGTGTGCACCTAGTGACATAGCTTCCAAATACATGAGTAGAGTGTTTCTGACCCACCTCTCAGTTACTGATAGATCAAAAGCAGTTGAAAGAACCAGTGAGGATTTACAGGAGATTTTAACTCCGTGAATCTGCTCTGACGCCTTGGGTGCTGGCTGGTGAAACAACAGGCTGTGGGAATGTCTCCATGAATCCCAGAATGCACACTGTGACACACCCCGGGGGCAGCAGGCAGGTGTGGGYCACTGCTGTGTCCAGTGTCCCAGGCATTATCCTGAATGCTTTCATTGTCTGTTTAATCTTCCCAATATTACAAAATGAGGAAACTGAGACACAGGCCARGCATGGTGTCACAGGTGACAGTAAGTGACAGCCAGGACCTGGGCGCCAGGGTTTGTGTTCTTGGTCTCCAAAGATGCTCCCTCCTGGGTGTTTGTGAACTCAGTCCCWTTCTACTCCAGAAACCCAGGCTCATCCACCTGAAGGGACAGAACCACTCAAAGTTACAGACCCCTCACCCAGGCAAAGCTGAAGGGCAAAAMCAGAACCAGTTGATTCTGTGTGTAGATTTGTAGAAACACAGTAGTAGAGTAAGCTGTGATCCCAACAAGGCAGTCACAAGTTCAGAACCTCCCTAGAGGTCAGGCAGACTGGACTCCTGGAGACTGTGGAGGGCAGCCCCAGGGGGACCTCAGAAGGAGGCGGAGGCAGGAGGGGTGAACCAAGCCCACCCCCTGTAGCCGAGCAAAACCCGTCTCAAAACTTAAGAAAGAGCTGAGGATGGAGCACAGCGCTAGAGACTTGTCTGGCACGTGAAGGCCCAGGCGGGTTCCATCCCTAGTACAAAAAAAAAAAAAAAAAAAGGCGGGCTTGTTTGCCATTTACATCACAAGGAAAAGCAAACACTAATGTTCTAAGAACAAGAACTGATAAAACAACAGAAACGACTCACTTTTGTGGGTTTAAAGAATCCACAATAAAGAAAAGAGAAAGTCAGTAGCAGCAAAGAAACAATAAAGATAGCAGCAAAAACTAATGAAAAACTGAAGCTGCTCCTCAGAATCAAAAGTTGCTTATTTTAAAAGACTGATGAAGTCAAACCTCTAGGTGATTAATAACTATGATGAGGAAAGTGCTTTGGTACAAAAAAGTGGTATTAAAATTGCAAGTAGGATAATGTTGCAAATGAAGCAGGGGATTTAAAGAAAAATAGATTTTTATGAAAAAAATTGAAAATCTGGATGACAAATTCCTGGAAAAAATAAATTTGCCCCCAGCTCTGAGAAAGTCTGAATTGTTTTATGATTATAGGAAACAAATAAATTGAGGTAATACCCGGAGAGTAGAGGATGGGGAGGGGGCGGGGCGAGGGGAAGAATAAGGAGGTGCTGGCTGAGTGGCTTCCGCTGACCATCACGTCAGGATGAGCCCCACTGTCTATAAGTGTAATGCACTAGAAAAYATTCAGTAAAAATGAGAGATGAAATCAGGAGTGAAAGACTTTCCACAGAGCGGCAGGCCCTGCCTGTTTTGCCGGAGCATCCAGCCAACACTCAGAGGACCCACGTCCGTGCAGACTGTGCCTGCCCAGGAATGGAAGAGGGAGGCAGGCTTACCCTGCTCTGAAACCTGAGAACAGCCTCAGAAATGCAAGACTAGAGGCCAGTCTTGCACATAGGAACATAGGATTCCTGCGTGGTGCTCAGCAAGCTGGGCCTAGTCATGAAAGCGCCRCACATTGAGCCCAAGTCAGGTTCTTGCAGGCAGACGAGGTGGGCACAGCTTGGAGGAGAGCAGGATACTGTGGTAGGAGCACAGGTTGCTGGGAGTCACTGGACCCTGCTCCGTAACTGTCCCATGAGCTCTAGGGAGTGAGGAATGGGAGGGGACTTTCTGACCTACAAAGGCCTGGGAATGCACTGTCTGTGGAGAGCGGCTTCCGGCTCCTTCCAGGATCAGGAAGTGGAGGCAGGAGTGTTGCCCAGTGTGTCTGTTCAGTGCGCCGAGAGGCAAACACTCCACTCCTGCCTTAGTGGCCAACACTGGTCAGCTCTCCTGCCTCCCACCACCTCCACGTCACTCACCTCCACGTCACCTCCCAGTGTCCATCCTCATCAGCCCTTCTGCAGCATGGACCACTCCATTGACTGTCCCTTTGCTCCCTGGCTACTCCTTAGGTCTTTCAGTTATCAGCATTTATTTCTGGCCTGGACCAGTGGCCAGTCTCATACTCRTGTCCTAGGGCCACCTGGCACCTCCACTTATGGGTCCAGCAGGTATCTTGAACTTGGCATGTCACGGAAGAAGGTATGACCATYTCAACCAATTGCTGCCTGCAAACTCCTGCAACCTTTCTTCATCTCAGGGAGCGTTGTCCTTGATCCTCTTTCCCTTGCACCCATACATGCCTCTTGTTGCTCAGCCTTCAGCCCACATCTGGAGTCTGACCTCTTCCCACAAGCCTCTTGCTCTGCTTGGCCCACATGTCTAACACCAGTCGGTTTCTTAATGGCCATGCCTCTACCCATCCCTTGACTGTGCCTTTCCTCACCCTGCSCTCTGCCCTGTCTGTTCCCAGTGGGAGACCCCGTGGGATCCTTGCCCTSCCCAGAGCTCCCAGGCCCTCAGGAGCAGGCAGTGGCCAGAGTCCTGGGGGACCTAGCCTGGTCTCCCTTCCCAGCCAGCCTCAGCTTCTGCTTCACACCTGCGCCCTGTGCCCTGTTGGTTTCTGGAGTCTCAGGTGGTCTCTGGCCCCAGGGTCTTTGTTACATCTACCTGGAACACCCTGCCCCACGTCTGTAGGACTTACCCTCTCTGGTCTTCACCTAAGTGTCTGACCACCATGTTGGAATCACACAGACACCTGCTATTTTCTATCCCCTATCTTGTTCCAAAGCATGTCCCCATCTTAAGTGCCATGTCTTTTGTTTATATTAACTTAATGAACTAGTGAGAACATTTGTGTAGGAACCAGGTGGCATGGCAGAATGGTGGCGTCGGCACCCTGGGGACTGGTGTCTTGGGCACCCCAGCCTCAGCAGTCAGCAGAGGGCACTTTGTGGTAGAACTGGGTAAGGGATGGGGGCATCCTGCTGGGAGGGCGGCTGGGGCTCTGGGTGGGTCTCCAGGAGGCCAGTGGTCCGGGTTTCAGGAGGTGAATAGAGAAAGAAGGCAGAGGGAAGGGTGTGCCTGGCACAGAGAGGGGGTGTGAGGCACCCTCCTGGCCCAGCCTTATCCCAGCTCCTTGCTCTGTTAACACCCAGTAGAACCAGGCCCTGGGCCAGGCTCTTGGCGTGCCTGCAAATCCCCGGGCCCACCTGGCCAGCTTCTCAGCTTCTCGGCTGGTTTCCTCCTTGAGATGGAAGATGCCTTCCTCTCAGTCGTCGAAGGAGCGGATTCTGCGCCTGGTTGGAGTGAGCGCTGGCTGRGTGTGCCTTTGACCCTTGCTGGCTGTCATCTGTGCTGGGAGAAGATGAGCAGCTATTTCTGACGTTGCTCATCTGGTCTGCTCATCCCATCCTATTTATCAGGCTGCTGGTACGTAAAGAGAAAATGGTGTTTATTTTAATGAGTCACAAATTTTGAAATTAAGTCATTAAGTAAAAGTGAGCAGGTTGACGCCCACTTTGGTTTTCCCTGAACCTGACTGGATGAGCCCCGTCATGCAGACAGCGCCACGGCTGGGCTGATGGCTCACACGTTAAATCTCTCTCCCGCTTGTTTTTTCTTTTAGTCTGAACCCGAGGGCTTTTCTCATTTCCACTTGTACGTTTGCGCTGCTTTTCTCGTGAGATGGAGGAAGGAAATACTAGAAGAAAGAGATTTTCAAGTAAGTAAACATTTTTTTAGAAGCGCCCACGTTTGATTTTCTGCAGGGAGAGAGTTTTATTAGTTTTGGTTCTGGGGTGATCTGTGGAGGAGTGCTGGTCATGTCCCCGCTGGCCTCCTGCTGCCGGGAAGCTCGTTCTGGGGAGGGCACAGAGTTGGTGGCACAGTGCGGGCCATGGCAGGTAAACTCGCCAGCTCCCTGAGTTGCTAAGAGTGTAATAAGCCCCCACAGAGCCAGCACATGCCCTCAGCAGCGTGACCCTGGACGGTGGCAGTGTGATCCTGGAAGAACTCTCCTCACTGTGCCTGGACTGTGGGGCCTAAGGGATGGTGCCTGATGAGAAGCCACGTGCCTGGGTTTCTGTCGGGCCAGACCTCCTGGTAGCTGTGCACCTTGGGACAGGTCTGAGTCTCTCTGAGCCAGCTCCTTTGTGATTTAGCAGRAGAGCTGTACTCGAACCCACTTATCAGAGGATTCCTCGAGCATGTGTCTTAGTCAGCTTTTTCGCTGCTGTGACTGGAGGAGCTGACCCCCACACTGTAGGGGGGAAAGGTCTATTYGAGGGCTCGCGGTTTCAGAGGTCACAGTCCAGAGGAGGCCGGCTCCAGTCCTYGGGGCTCGAGGTGAGGCTGGACATCATGGCGGGAGAGGGTGGCCRAGGACAGCAGCTCACATCACAGTGCTCAGGAAGCAGAGAGACTCCAGCGCCAGGTGCAAAATATCACCCACAGCCACGCCCCCAGTGACCCCTTCTTCCAGCCACACCCCCTGCCTGCAGAGACCACCCAGGTCTTCCCACCAGGGGTCAGTTCACTGATTGGGTCGAGACTCTCACAATCCAGTCATTTCTCCTCTGAACCTTCCTGCAGGTCTCCCACGTGAGCTTTTGGGGGACACCTCATATCCAGACCATAACACTGTGCATCTGCCAGGCACTGTGCCCCACCCAGGGGATGTCACATGGACTGAGTCCCCAGCCCCTGGTCCACCCCCAGTAACTCTTCTAAATGGTGGTCCAAAAAGCATGGGGGTGGTTGGCCACTGGGGGCTGACAGCCACCATTACCTGAGGTACCGACAGAAGTCTGCCCATTACCTACCCAGAGCAGGCCCAGTGCCCATATCCTRGACAGGGGTGGGACCAGGGGTGCAGCAAAGAGGACACTGCCAGGATGGGAATGAACCCCACACTGATGTGCCAGGGTCACTCTCCACCTCACCCTGAGCCCCCCATCTCATAGGTGGTAGGACAGGCTAGGTGACCCCACAGTCCTCTTGCCCCACTATGGTGACTTGAGACAGCTTCCTGGCTGCTTGTTCTGCAGCCCTGTGCTTGTGAGACGGCTCCAAGCATCCCTGCCGCCCGCTGCCCTCCGAGGGCTGTGGTGAGTCATGGACATTCCCCTGCACTGCCTCCTGCTTCTAGGCCAGACGCCAGGAGAGGCTAGGCAGGCGAGGCCTCTGTGGGGCCAGAGGTTGCCAACAGGGCCCCAGCCAGGCAGATCGGGCCCAGCCTGCCTACACGTCCCAGGTGCTCCCTGGGGAGGAGGAGTAAGGTTATCTCCAGGCCAGCTGCTGCCCTCGTTAGCGTGGGCTCAGTTGTGTCACTGGGGGCACTGGAGGCAGCCTCAGCCAGCCACTGCTCCTGCGTTGCCCCGTGCAGGTGAGACTCAGGACGTTCATCATGTAGAGAGGTGTGAACGCGCGCACAGGCCAGCATGCCTGCCGCGTCGGGTGTGCAGGGCTGCTGGGTCAGGCCTCTGGGCCACCTGCTCCTCTCCTACCTGTACACTCCAGAGCCTAGAAGCCTAAGAGAGGCTGTGACTTCCCTGCCACCAAAGAAGGCAGAATAAATGCTGGTAACGTACCCCCGTCTCCTCATACGCCCTCTGCTTCCTTCTCCTGCAGGAAGCACTCTCATCTCCAAGGGTTCTGGTGAGCAGGGCTGCCTGTGAAGGCCACTGACCAGCTGGCCTGCTTATTGAAGGGTGAGGGGCCCAGCCTCCCTGGGCACAGTGGCTGCTCTCCGTGTGACCGTGGCCAGTGTGGGAGACTGCATTCCTGTGCCCCAGCTGGCTCCCAGAGGTCTCCTGGAGAACTTGTTTCAGATCCAGTTGCCTCCTGCCCCCAAGAGTCAGGGTTCAGGACTGACCTGGCCACTTGGTGTTCCTGCCATCAGTGTGTGGCTTCACCAGGTGGGAAATAGCATTCCCAGAAGCCACCTTGAGGGACTGACCACACTGGGGTTGGGGATGGTAGGAGAAGCCTGCTGTGCACTGTCTGGAGCCAGGCTGCGTGCTGCGGCATCCAGAGCCTCTGGAGCCCACTCTGGACTGGCCCTGGGCTGCATGTGTGTGAGACGTGCCGCAGCCTGGAATGATGTTCCCGTTCTAGTGAAGAGTGAGGGGTTAGGTTCTCTGGTTGCTCCCCAGCAGGGCCAGTGCTRCTCTGGCCCATCCCACAAGGTGGCTCAAGGCAGACCAGGTGCGCACTGGCCGTGGGCATTTCCAAGCACCTTTGTTCTTGCTTATTCTTTATTCTTGCAGAGACATGTTATATGTGCCCTGGGGACCAAAGTAATCATGAGAGCCCCTCATGGTGGAGGGCCAAATGTAGGAACAGCCTCTGGACACAAGGGGCCATGGACAGCCCATCTGAGGCTCTGAAGGGCAGGGTGGCCGCTGTTGCCAGCTGCCCTTCCCATCACACTTCAGAAGTGCAGTCTGCTGGCTGTTGGGCTGCAGACAGTGCTGTGCTGGTCAGAGGCACTCAGGGCAGCTGGTGGGAATGTCCAGCCCTCCTCCTCTGAGCTTGTTTGCTCACCTTGAGTCTAAAGCAGGGTGGGGGATGCCGCCCAGAATCAGGCATAGGTGTGGTGACCACCAGGGCACAGACCAGAGCCTGCGCAGCCCTGCAGCCTGGTGGGGATGGCAGGGCCTGGCACAGGAGCCACGGGATAAAGTTTCCCCCTCTAAGCTCAGAGCAGACTGGTGCTTTGGTATCACGGGGAGTGGATAGAGAGCACCGTGTGAACCCAGCATGTGCTGTGGAGAGTTGAACTAAACAGGAAAGGAGATAGGAAGAGGAAATACAAATTGAAGCAAGAACCCAAGCAGTCCTGGTGAGCATGGGGGAATTGGCATTTATGATCCTGACATTTCAGGAAAYGTGGTACGCTGTGGAGGGCAGGCTGGGTGGGTGAGACCCAGGACGTGAAGTCTCCAGCAAGAGAATCTTCACTACAGACGGCTCAAAGCAACCTGTGGCATTGTGATTTGCCCATTGGGAAATCCTGGGTTGTTTTAAGACATTGTCATAGGAGGAATCTTATTCTGAGGGTGGTATTCCTGGGGCTCTGTTGGTACTAGATGGTCGGCCAGGCGTGGGGTTGAGGAGGGAGGGTGGGGGCTGAGGTGCCACCCCTTCCGGTGCCCCTTAGCTTTTGAGACTGTTGCAGCTGGAATTCTGGATGGTTATAGCCATTCTGTGAATGTGGAGGGGCTCCTGGGGACCACTGGGCGAGTGTCTTAGGGCAGGGACTCGGGCTAGGTGGTCTGCTGGTCCCTGGGCAGGGGTACCCTCCGGAGAGGAGGAGCCTCTCCCCCGGCACTGGGGTTCAGTGGTTGCACTCTGTCCCTGCCAGAGCTGCCTGTCCTTGGGAAGGCTTTCCCGCGGCGCTTACCTACCTTGGCATCTGTTTCTGCAGCCTGGCTCTGACTGAGTAGCCCTGGGCACTCCCTCTGGGCGTCCACCCACCAAGCACACAAAGTGCAGAGTGGCCGTCAAGCTGGCGTCTCTTGCTGAGGCCTGCTGCTGGGTTCCACCCTCACTTCCCACAGCTTGGGCTCTGCCCTCCTGGCTACTTTTCCCCATCAGATCTTGTAGGGTCCTTGGGGTGAAAGGAGAGCCTTTGTGTGGAGTTTCTAGTGTCCCTGGGGTCTGCTGGGCACTCTCCACCGTCCTTGTGTGGTGAGAGACCTCCAAGGCCCGTGCCATCCGTTGGGGCCTGCTGGTTCCTCTGGCCAGGTGGGCCCACACACCTCCCTGCAAGCCTGCAAATGGCCGGCTGCAACCTGTCCCTGTGCTCAGAGAAAGGGCTCCGTCCCTGCTGCACAAGCCCTAAGCAGGACACAGGCATATTTCCTGCGAGGCCATTGTGTGCTGGCTTTGACCCCTGTGGGGTGTACGTTAAGCTTAAATGCTGGCTTTTCTGACTCTTAGAACGTTTGAAATTGATTCACCCTAGAACCTTTGCGTCATGCCCACCTTATCTCCAGGGGTCTCAGCCTCCTGCTCTGGCTTCACTGGGGACCCGCTACAGCCCTTTCCGGCCGCCTGCTGTGGTTCTCCTTCCCCTGAAACCTTGAGCTTCTCCCAGGAGCACACCTGATTGAAGGGTGGCTGGGCCCTGCCTCATTTGGAGACAGCCTCTCTGTGTTCATGGGAAACGCCTACCCTGTAGGCCTATGAAGGAGGCGGGGGGCAAGGCCCTGGTTCTGACACCAGTTTCTGTTGAGCTCTGCCTGGCTATGGGCCCCACGTCCAGCTGAGAGCTCCTGGGTGTGCAGGAAGTAGCCCCACAGGTGTGGTCTGTAGGGCTTGGCCCAGGAGCCCCCTCTTCTCCTTCTCTGAGTCTCGGGTGGGGTCCTGTGGCATCTGTAGCCACCTGGCAGGGAAACCAGATAAGAACAGTGAGGGCTTGGACCATGCCCAGCCCCATCTGGCTTGCTTTCTTCACCCTCAGGGCCTGTCCTCACAGCCTGTCCTCACAGCCTGTCCTGACGGCCTGTGGATTTTTCTTGTTCATTCAGTGAACTCCCTGAGCCATTTCTGACTCAAGGGCAGTGCCAGCTGGACTCCAGGGTCAAAAGTGAAGGACTGCTCCTCAGGGTCAGCACAACGCTTTGTTATGGGCACCTGGTGCAGTTACCAGGGAGTAGAAGGAGCAGGTCAAGGTGCTGGGAGCCAGTTGGGCAGAGGACCAAAGAGAGYGCAGGATGG